GCTGACCCCGCCTTTCGTGTCGGCCTAAGAAAATGTCGACTTGATGAGTCGGCGGGGTCGAGGGCTCTGTTGGGCATGGGCTACTAAGTTGGTTGAGACCGGTTTGCCAAGGCTATGATTGTATCATTTTGCAAATACCCGTATTTTAGGTTAGTAAACACTATAACACATTCTTTTCTTTTTTCCTTTCTTGTTTCTAGAATATTCTAAATCGTGAAATGATAGTACACACATAATTAAATTACAATATCCCCAAAATTTGTAATCACTTAATCCAATTATGTATTAATCAATTAGGAAACTACTCAACAAATTTGCGTTAAGAAATGATTTAATTGCTAAATAACAGTTTAGGATACATTTTCTATGTACAGCTGCATAGTAAAATTGCATAAATTAAATCATCATAAACTCACATATTATTTTTTGGGAGAGGGATTTTGAAATTTAATTAGAGTGACTTAATTTGATGCATGTAGTCTACTCTTCTATACTTATAAGTGGATCTAAAGAATCACTATTTATGCTACAGTACTACTGTGTCGTGAACAGCAAATCGGCCCTCATTTTGCGACAATACTGTATCATGAATAGTAAATCAAATCCACTATATTTTTGAAGTTAGTGTTTACGATACAATATTTTATTATATCTTAAATAGTAAATCAAATCAAATGTATTAAAACCTAGATCATCCTCTAAGTATAAAGGAGTAGATATGATTTTTAAATCAAATGTATTAAAAATTGGATCCTCCTTTACGTACAGAGGAGTAGATATAATTTCTAATTTTAAGCATACAATAATCAAATTAAATGTATTAAAACTTAGAGGGAGATAAGTTCAAAATACAATACTTAAATAAAGGGATCGTGCTTTGGATGAGGTGCACACTAGTGTAAACAAATTGAAGAATGTATTTAGGGTTCAAGATACAAATAGTATCATAAAATCCCCCCCAAAAAAAATCAATTTAAAGGAGATATACGTACACCTTTATATCCTCCCCATAAATTATCCTGACCAGCTCATCCATTTACATTCGGTCGAGCTAACCTCACTTTGTCATTATTCTGAAAAAGTCGCGAATAATTCTCGGGATCCGCCAGCTCGGCCATTTTCCCCCTCGCCCCCCGCTCGTGCGCTCTCGCTTTCTCCGCCTCTAATCTCTCTCCCTCTCGCTCTCCTCTCTTTCTGAGCGAATCCTCACCGTTAACACTTCCTCTCTCCTCTCCCAGAAAAAGAAGAAAAAAAAGGTAAGTAAAAGAGAAGCAAGAGAGAAGCGATGTGGGAATGTTGGCTTTCTTTCTCGTCCTTCGAGCAGTTGTTATGGTCTCTGATGGGATCCGCTTGCTTTAACTTTTGACTGACGACTAACAGAGATCTTGGGTAACAAAGATTCAATCTTTGGCGATTTTTGGGAGGACCCATCTGCAGGTTCGCTCTCTTTTCTTGGGATTCTTCACTTCTGGAGATTTAGATCTTTGAAATGTTCGAGGACCCATTTCCAATTTTGTTCTTCTTCCTGATTTCGAAATTTAAAGCTTAATTTTAACGGTTCAACAGAAATACCCACTCTTTAAAAAAAAATGCCGTTTTACATTGAGTTCATTTTTGTTTTTTCAGTTCACATGCATAAAGTCTGATGAAATCTCATTGGCTTATCTCAATATTGCCTAACCTGTTTATATCTAAAATTTCGGTCTTTTGGTAATTAGAGAGTATACAGATTGTAATTGCCTTTTCATTTTTTTACTAGGGACTTTTTTACACTATTTTTGCAGTGAAGTTTCTGATATTTTTGAGATTTATTATCCTTTTTATTGAGTGAAGAACAAAGTCCGTTGAAAGTTCGATTTATTATCTGGGAATCATCATCTTATACTTATGTTCAATTTGTAATATATTTCTACTCATTTTCTTTCCTTTTTTCCCCTGTTTCATTGCTTCAAACAAAACTCTTCATCAAAATCTCTCCTTTTCCACTCGTGAGCAGAAAATTTTTGAGCTTTATCATGCCAAGACAAAATCCTGCTATAAAGGAGTTTATAGCTGGAGCATCAAAGATCCGTAAAAGGGTTTCTTCTTCTTCATCAGCATCATCTTCTTTATTACAAAATAACCGATTTAAGCGAGCCATTATAATTGGTAAAAGAGGTGGATCTACAACTCCTGCTCCCAATTGGAGAATGAACCCTAAATCCCCATCAGCTAGTTCAAAGATTTCTGATCCATCGAGGCAACAAGGCCCGGTTTCAGCTAGGAAACTTGCAAATGCTCTGTGGGAATTGAACATGATCCCTTCACCAGAGTTCAGTGAGAATTTTTCGGCCCGAAGATCTAAGAAAGTATCAAAACCTCGCCCTCATCGGTTATCTGATCCCTTGCATAGCCCTGATTCTGAGGTCAATGTTGTTACATATTACATTATAGTGTTTTCTTGTGATTATTCTGAAGTTTAACTCTTCTATATGTTGGTGGTATTAAAGAGGAGCGGCCCATTGACAATAATGCCGATAGTCTCTCAGAGAATTCGATCCAAGGAGCGCAATGATAGAGCTTTGGATTTGCTAAGTAGCTCTAGTTTGATGGAGGTAACCTACTATACCATATTTTTTTTAATGCTCTCCAATATTCTTTTGGTAGAACTATTAGTTTTTCCTTTGATTATTTAGCATCTAATTGATGAATATAGGCATTGGATTATTTTGTTGGAAATTCTCAGATTTAAACACATACAAGCGGTTTTTGTTCTAAGTTGATTTTGAATCTCTAATGAGCCATTGAAGTAGTCTTTGTACTTATTATCCTCTGAACTAGACTATTTATTGATTTTACTTTTTTCCATTAGTTCTGTCGTTTTCTGTATGTGCACTTTATTCTAAAATTTTGCACATTATTTGTTCATAGATGAAAATATAGGTATTAAAAGAGCTATTAGGATGGTTGTGCATATATTTTTCCATTTTGTAGTATCAAATAATACATGCTGCACCATTACTGAAAACTTCTCTAGCATTTTTGGCATACTTAATGTGTGCTTAAGATCTCTTACATTCTTTCAGTGGACTAGAGAACATTGATATTGCTCTTTTAGAAAGCCTGAGGATTCATGGTTTTGGGGAATCATGGATAGCTCTGTTGGAATTTGAACTACAAGTAGAAATGCCTGTGTGGAATTTAGACTACAAGGCAAAATGGCTGTGAAGTAATTTTGTTTACATATGAAATATTAACAACATGCACGTAAATGCTAGAAGAAAAAGAAGGAAGAAAGGATAGTAAAGAGTTAAGGGCCTAAGGCATTGAAATTTGATGGTAAATTATATATAATGTGAGTTACTAGATGTCACATTCCTTTCTTCATACTGGAAGTTTAGTGCTTATTATTTTTTTCTTTTCTGTAATGACCAATAACTCTTTCGTCAATGACTTATGATGTATCTGAAATGAAACCCTAGCCAGCTAGTATTAGATTATGAATATGGATGTGTGTGTTAAGTGATTACTAGCATGACTCTGCAAAGATGAAGTTATGTTTGTAATTTTGATGTAAAGTTGTTAGCATAGAGTGCGCATCATCTGTGAAGAGCATCTTTTAATCACGTTTGCAAAGGACAGCATCTATCCCCATCTATGCCTTCAGTAGCACTTATCATCCTAAATCGTTTATTAGCAATTATTGCCATTGACGTTTGCATTTTGAAAAGGACATATTGCAGATAACCCCACT